GCGAAGGGTGTAAGAAGAGGGCTTGGGGGCCTGGTGCGGGCCCGGGTGTGTGGGAGGCTTGGGAGAAGAGGGAGGAGGGGAGGAGGAAGGTGAGGGATGAGGTTGTGAGTGGGGAGGGGGAGGGGAGTAAGAAGGCGAAGGGGAAGAGGCCGAGTCAGGCGGATGTTTTGGATGATGGTGAGGAGGAGGGGGAGAGGGGGGAGGGGCTTGTGCTGTTTGCTTGTAGGCATATGTGGCATCGGGGGTGTTTGGAGAAGGAGAGTGCGGGAGAGGAAGGTGGGGGCGAGGTGGGGAGGATGATGGGGAGAATGGGGTTGAAGTGTCCGCTTTGTTGAGTGAATGATGAGGTAGAAGTGTATGTATAGTAGTAATTTATGGTTCGTTTCATTGCGATTCTTACATACATCTCGCACCCAGGTCGCGCGATCATGTCTTCACTACGACACGAGTCCCGGATCTGAACCGATTCGATGTGGTATAACGCCTACAAAGCACGTTTTGGCCCGACAGAGGCAAGGTAAAAGTACGTTAGCATGCGACATGTATCTTGTATTCCGTGTTTGATTCGCCTAATGTACAATGTAGCCTTGACGCTGTTGCTACCTAATCGAAAACTTGCCCTGCACGCGCTGCGGCACCTCAAAGCCCGACGACAGACTACGAGATCATGCGACCTTGCCATTGTTTGCGTAGTCACCCACGATGCCTTTGTAGATCCACCTAGCTTTTCTTGTCACCTTATTTCTTGTAAAGGAGCACGTCCAAGTCAACGTGTACATTGGGAAGCGAGAAGACATTCGCCACCATGGAGCACACCTTGGCCTTAATGTCTAGGTCCTTGAATCGAAACCACGTAGTAGAGAGCCCCTGAAACTCGCCGAATTTCACCTTGACTCCAAGCTGAATATGTTACAGGCTGGGTAGTATCCAGTGCGGGTCATCCAAGAAGGTAAGCATATTATATTCCCAAGAAGATTGGAACGTGGTGAGCTGATGGACGTCGAGCGGGGGCAATGACACGCGGGGGTATAAGTAGTCGGGCACGTCAAGATCCACGGTTGTACCATCAACGCGTCCATCGAGGGTTATTCCACCCAAACTGACTGAGGACACAGCCAGCCGCGCGACGTCCGGCAGTGAGTCGACCCAGAGGAAGAACGACTTGGCGGTGCCGACTACGAAGGTACTTGATGAATACAATAGTGGCCATGCCTCGAGGTGTATTTGGCGCGATGCACCCAGCAACGTCGAGCCGAAGGATGACCTCGGCTCGTAACCGCCTAGGGGTTTTCCCCTGTATAGGTTGAACATTACATAGCCATTGTCTTCGGCATCTTGCTTCTTCTGAGAGTTGCCGACATACCACCGTGGATTCCCGAGTACATATCCGTAGATCGTGTTGCGAATTTCGCCGGGCAGCTTGAGCAGCGGGGACATGCGTTGGTTGTGTAGAGCACATGCATTGTTAGTATCAATGCCAATTTGTATCTTAGTGGACCTTCGCGCATACATTGCTTGCTTCCAAGGCGATTCATCGGTGAGCACGACCATCTTGCAGTGTCGTAGGTTGTCCGGGAGTGGAAAGTGAGGGAGTAGCTGAAGAGACAACCACGATAAGTTATTGATAGCGTAGAGAGCGATTAGGCAACAAGGTGACGTAAGTGCATTCGTATTTCTGCCTTCACGTCGGAATACCAATGCAGTTGCAGTCGTCGCAGCGGTATGTCGTCGCCAACGATGCCGCTGCTCGATACATCCATGACTCATTTTCGCAACGTAGCTCACAAGCATACCTGGAGACTGGTAACATTCCCATTCATACGTATCCAAACAAAGCTCAAGGATCACTACCGCTTTGCACAATGTGTGACAATTGTCATGTGCCACTAACAACATCCGTGTCCGACAAGTACATGCACATCCATGCTCACGCGAACCGTCGGCCGCCCAAGCATCCTCTCGATCTCGGGACGTAGCTGTGCGATGGCCATAGTTTTGGCGCGCCGAACAGCCGCGTCATCTGGCTTATCCCAACTCACCGCGAATTTGCTGACATTAAGGACGAGATGAATGCGTTCAAGGCCCGGTAAGAGCGCATACAATTCATCCACGCCATCTACCATGCGCATATCTTTCACGGGACCGCGCATTCGCATAACGCGACGCTCTTTATGCGGGTGTCCTCGAGTCCACCATACGGGGAACCTCGTCTCAAGAACATCGTTCGTGATCTCGCCGCAATGACCTTCATTCAATCGAAGAGAGCGGATAGCAGATCTTGCGGGTTCCGGCAGCTGGTTTAGCCACCACACCAAAGCATCGATCGAAGTGCCTCCATAATAGTCCGCCTCGAATGTGTTGAGCGCGTAGGGGAGTAACCATGTCTCTTGGTGTATCTGACGACAGACCCGGTGGAGGGTAGACCCGAAAGCCCGGATTGTAGGTTCACCACATAGGACACATTCGCAATCGTCGTGATAACGTGAGACTTTCCGCCAAGCATAGTCTTTGTGGCAGGTGATGTGCCAAGTGACATGGCTATCAAGGACGTATCCGTATATCCGGTTCCTGAGCTCACCGGGCAGTCTGAGAAGGGAAGAGTTGGATTGATTCAGTGCACCGCTGACAGTTGTTAGTCGCTAAGACTTTGGACAAGTACGCGTAGAGTGTGGGACTTACATTGCTAACTGCTCGGAGTGAGCATCACGCAGTATCACCATATTGCCGGTGATGATATGTACGATGATTCTGGGAGGAAAGGAGTTCCCGTTGGGAATCGTGGCACAGAATTAAGATCACAAACTGCAGGCAATTCACGAAGTCGATATATCGGATTGTGGACCCAACAATGTCATTTTGAAGTGCGCATCTCGCATCCTGCAAGTGGTATTGACCTTCACAGGCCACGGTGCTTTGGAGTGGCACGTGAAAATGGTTGCGCGGATGTGACATTGCTTTGTGGCGCGAGCGTTGTGAGCCGACAGCCTGGTTGTCGGATTATAGCGTTCATCTGTACTCATTTCGGTGATCCGCGCCAGTAAATGTCGTCTCCAGGTACCCATATAGATATGATAGTTCACAGTGGATGCATTGGTGTGTTCGTGGTTCGGGTGTGAACGTCTGCCAGACATCATACGATCCGACAAGGCTGGCGAGCCTCGGCTCTTGACCCGATTCGGTGCAAGGGTCTGGAGTGGGTCTCCTCAAAGCCGTACACCCGTATCGCCGAGGTATGCTCGCAAAATCTACTTCAGATTGTATACAACAGTTTTCGGCCTCAACATGACTACCGCGCCTCTGCCCGGTCATCCTAATAGAAGCTTGGCCAACACCCGAGGAGCCATCCCTCTCAATGAAGCGTTTGAGCGTCTCCGCTGGTCGGTCTTCGAGGACATCTCCAACATCCTCGTTCTCGATGAACCAAGAACCCAAAAGCCCGACCTACTGCCCTTCGAAGGCCACCCGATTGCGTCAGAACCAGCTTCCGAAATCCCTCTCACCAAGATAGCCTTCACCATCTACGAGCTCAATGAGTTCGCAGCTCTTGAAACAGGCTTCAACGATGACGAGTTCGACGAGCCTGGGTTTGAGGAAAACCGTCGCTATCAGCGACCAGAACCCTTAGTTGTTACCAGAGGAGATGGCGGTACTGTCACAGTTGCAGACGTCGTCCAGCAACTATCAGGGTACTTTCTCACTCACAAGGAAGACATACTCAAGGCGAAAGCCTACATAAATGGGGACTCGAGCGATCACGGAGCGGACGACGAGGCAACTGTCACCACTACCCTGGGCGGAGACCGGGGTGCACCCCCCGGCACGAGAGTCTTCTTCGAAGGATTCTTTGGTATCATAGAGCCCACCATGGAGTCGCTTCCCGTGTTACTATGGACCGAAGGAGATGGCTCGTTTCCATTAGATGACAGACTGCGACAGTAAATACGGCATCGTTCTCGGGCATGGTGGTGGCTCGGAGGCTATTTCTGCCGAAGGGCCAATTGGTAGTGTACTTGCTGAGTGTCGCATGCGGCGGGAATGGGTTCAGGGAGAATAACTACTGTCGTCATCGGCGGCATGTAGCTTTTTGAACGAAGCGTCGCCAACAGCAGCGAAAAGGCGAACATCGAAAAACGGGGTAGGCCTGACGCGGCGGTGTTCCCTGGGTGCGAGGTTCCACGCCGTATACGGTTCATGCATTCGCTATTTTGATAAAATTTGTGTCGCTATACCTTTGATTCTTTCCAGATAAGGGTGTCGGTACCGATGCGTTCGCGCGAGCCTTCCGAGGTCTCTTTCGAACGCGGCATGGGCCTCTGTCCCATGAGGATTGTCGCGGCTTATAGGCAATCTCTCCGCGCATTGAACGTACAAGGCTGACTGGAAGCGCCGCAGGTGCATGTGAGAAATGAAGCTTTGAGTCGCACTCGCATCTTGTAGTAGCTTCGCAAAGGTGCAGCGTCCGATATTGTCCCCAACAATGCTGTAGTAGCTGCCAGACGCAGGGTGGCAGGTGCGCAGGTTAACGGCCTGGCTTACGGGATCTTGGAGCCGGGGGGCGGCAACATCCGGCGCTCACGACAACTTTGGCGATCGTGGCAACCACTCGACAACAGGTCAGACGAGGCTGCGCACCAATGTGAGCAATGCGTCGCTACGAAGGTAGTACCACCTACATATGCTTCGAGCCGAAGCAGTAAAACGCCCCCACACAATGGATATCCGCGCGTATGGGACGTTTGCCGATCTTCGCTCCCATATTGAGGTCAGCGAGGCGTATTCTGACACTACACTATATATTCGATAACTGTCTAACAGGCCGATTGGAGTGTTGAGGGTTGACCGGTCTCCGCGCCTCACGTACGCGTCATTTCGACCCTTCGATGCGAATTCAGCCTTGCGGCTTCCGTAGCGCCACAAGTTGATGTTTTGTTTGAGATAAAGACACAGCTTTCGAACTTTATTCTATAATCTTGATGTATCTCTGCGTCTGATTTTCCACCATGGCATCTATCTCCGACGATATTAGTCTGCGAACAATGTCGAGAGCCAACTCGACCTCTGTACACGGCAACATCAGCCCCTTGCATCGGGCACCGACGCCGGTCTCTTCGGTTCAACCGCATCCCGATGCACAAGAGCAAGCATTACCTGATGTGGGAGATCCCGACGACGAGAGCGAAACGCAACCTTCTCTCTCCTCAGTGTCAACGTCATCGAACCCGGCCAGCCCAGGACAGGGGAACGACCGACGCTCTGAGCCCGTTCGACGCACACCGCACTGGAAAACAATAGGGATAATCATAGGCTTCAACTTTGCGGGTACGTGATCGCATGCGTAACGTTGAACAGAGTTAAACTCGTGTAGCGCTTTTGTCCGCCTTGGGGCATTACTTCCTGTTTTGTAATCTGGATCACCAGCTCACTGAGACGAGCTATCTCACACAGCCGCAGGTCTCCGCGGTCTCAATCCTTCTAACAACCATCTTCAAAGCCGCCTTGGCGGCAAGCATTGGAACCTCTTTTGCACAGCATTTGTGGCTCATTCTTCGCGGGAACCCATTGCCAATTGACACCGTTGAGAAGATGTTCATACTTCGCACCAACATATTTGCACTGTTCGACTTCCGAAGCACATGGAGATCACCCATGCTGATCGTGATGGCGCTTTCCGTATGGTGTCTGGGACTGGCGACAATTTACCCTCCAGGAGCGCTGATCGTTGCAATCGAACCTTACACGTCTACTGAGAAGCTCGACATAGCTGTGATGAACCCGCCAATTCCGCGCGACCTAGACTTTGCTGGAAATGAAACCTTTCCAACATTGAGTTTCGGCGGGTTTGGCTTCCAGGCGGGTCTTTCTCTCACTGTTAACGGCAAGCCCGTAGACGCCTCGCCGAATGCAAGAACACTCGCATACTAGTAAGTAGCCCTGTTACAGGGCCCATACATGCCTCAGTACTAACTGGTATAGCGGACCAAATCCGGCCCTGCGTAGCATTGCGCAATCTATCATAATCGACAACCGCGTATTCAACCTGCCTGAACATCCGGGTGAAAACTCAACGTATAAACTCCAGTTCCGAGGTCCACAGTTGCGATGCAATTCTTCGCAGTACAGCAATTCTATTCCACTCGAGGAGACGGATCCTAGAGCGCTTTCCGGAGATGTTTTTGTTTCAAAGTGGCTGCCAGATTTGCTATCCCTCTCTGTTCAACAGCACAACATCAGCGATTATTCGATCTCGCGTAATAATCAAAACATCACAGTTTATGAAGCTCACGTGGAGACAACCGAGCAGGCTTGTATTCCCAAGTCCGTCTTGTACGATGTCAATGTAACTTTTCCGCGCGGAGTTCAGAAGCTAGAGTATCACTTGAGCGACGAAACAGATATACGGAGGAAGTGGCACGATGCTAGTGAATCCTATTCAGGGCAGCTTAAATCCTCAGCACTAAGCCTCACGATCCCCGCCAATCCCCAGGCAGCTCTAGATTGGAACACGAAGGTGCTAGATGCGCTTCCGGTGTTCAATGAATGGGCAATATTGGATGCCCTGGGCAGCTTGCTCGAAGGTGTAGGCAAGGAGGAATCGACGAACCATAACTACTCTCGCTGTGGTCCGCTTACTGCTCGAGATAACAAGACGACAACAAAATTATGTGATGATTGGACGACGTTTATGTCCTGTCATGAAAACCCACCCTCTTCCGAGGCTCCACTCCGGGGAACGGTGTTCCAACCCGCTCGCTTCGACCCAGCGTCACTAAAAACCTGTTACGACGCCAGAGAAGAGTTGGACATCACAGAGACTCTTCTCAATGATGTACTCACGAACATCACTCTTTCCGCTATATCTCTAGGGACATGGCATGAAGTACTCCCAATAATCATCACCCGCTATCAGAGCACGTACTCTTTCGCCAACCCACTCAATCTTATTCTTCCGTACAGTATCTGCTTCGTTGCCGCCATTATCTTCGCTGGTATAGCAATATACTCACTATCGCGGAATGGTACACCTGCGGCGGATGGCGGTTTCTTGCAGATCATGACGGCCACAAGGGGTAACACGGAGATGGAACGGCTGGTATTGCGACAAGACTTGACGAATCTGGACAAGCTGCCGCTGGAGCTAAGGAGTCTCAAGGTACGGTACGGTGAACTAGTTGGCGCAGAGGTACCGGGATACGAGGGGAGGTTTGGGTTCGGAACGGCCGAGGAAACCATTAGACTGAGGAAACGGAAGTGAGACTGGGTATGGCGAACGCGCGACAAGGACCAAGAGTTAAGGAGACAGAGCGGTGTCGTAGCCCAACACTATGCGCCGGCCAAGATTGTCTCTGAGCCTACCATGTAGCCGCTTTCTGCACTATTGTGGGCCGAAGGGGACAATTCGTCTCCGTTGGATGACAGACTCCGACAATAGACCTTTTGGACTTCAAGCTTGAGAGTTGGCCTGGAATTACAACCAACATCGTTCTCTCGTCCGCTCAATTGTGTTGTGATATCACCTTTAGCCGCCGACAGTGTACTCTCAGATGCTTGCGCGTAGTCTTCGTATGAGCCTCAGGAGTAGTCGCGTAGTGTTAATGCGGCGGGGTCTGACTCAAGTTACATCACGAACGCCACGTTTAGAAAGATCGAGTCAGACGAGAGTGTAGATGCGTATAGTTGCGTCGGCACAGAAACATGAAGGTAACTCACTACATGATCTGGAAAGATGCCTTTCTCTGGACACCGCTATGATCTTCGGATGTCACGCTGACCTCGCTGCACACGACGATAGTATTCTTTCCATCTGCTTCAAGGTTGTCGCGCTGCATGCGATGCATCGCCACATCATCCCCTTTGATCATGTCCTCCTCGCTCTCATTGTCAAGCGTCAGGCCACCGAAGGTGTGGCGCGCCCGGTGCGGCGTCCTTCGGCTAGCCCGTTTTCCACCGGGCCCGGATCCGCCCCCGATTGTTTCGAAGTCACTGCTTGGGGGCTCTTGCCCTTTTGCGTTGCTGGAGCCGATCGTGCTGAGTAGGAAAGGCGAGAGCCAGTTCTTGAGCAATGGGAAGATCATGGGAAGGTTCGTCGTAAATATGGCGATGAAGGTCTGGCGAGTACCCCAAGAGGCGGTGAGCTCAACACTGTTCAAAGGGTCCTAAAGATTGGTTAGTCTCGAAGCCCATGTCATAGTGATTTTGCCACTGCGTCTGACCGTGATAAGATAGATGCTCTTCAATATCGCACACACAATAACGAGCATGCCAGCGCCAAGTACTAGCATGGCAGCAATCTTCTTATACGTCCTCAATCTCGACTTCCATAACATAGGGATTGGTATCAGTAGCAGATAAACGTCGGTGGATACGTTGAAGACAAATGTTACACAGATCAGACGCTTCGATATCGCTGCTTGACACGCATTTCCGGGATCAGGATTGATCTGCCAGTAGCGCCAGAATGGTCGACAGGAGAGGTATATGGTGAATATGATGATCACAAAACTGGTGATGATGGATGCGAAAGCGATGTAAATTCGGGGCGTGTACATCCCAAGGCCGGCCTGTGGTGTAAGTCAGACAAGGCTCCCGTGTCTAGTGCGATAGACATACCCACCGTGAGACGAAGGTAGAAGGCTGCTACACATAGCTTGAGAGACCAGAGTAGGCAGGCAGAGGTGGTCCAGCCAGCTACCTGAATCTTAGATCCGATGACTCTGAAGCTCGGTTAGCTACGTGTGCGCCGGGGCTCACTATGTTGTTTCTTGCGCAAGGCTTTGGCTTCGTATATACCTCAATCTAAACTCGGGGTCGTCTTGCGACAGCGCAGCACGCTCATCCGGCGTCATGCCGTCATTTGCGAGGCCATGTACGTGCACTCCCAGACTGTACCCGAGGCTGCATTGGGCGGTGTAGATGAGCTGGTGAACGGATTGTTAGCAGTATGAAATCTATGAAGCATTCTTTGCTACTCACGATAGCAATCCATACTAGGTAGTCATCTACTTGTAGCTCGCGGAGGCCCACGGCGGTGATCCTTGCATATGTTCGCAGACACGTGAAGGAGACAGCGAGTGCATAGAGAGTCCACAGCTCCACGATGCCCATAGCGTATTCTGCAACAATGGTGTTGGATGATCGTTTCCAGTCTGATCCATCACTCTTGAACTCTGGGTCTGTCGGTATAATCACAAATCCAGAACAAAACACATGGAGCTGAATCTGTATCCGAGACGTTCATGGCGTAGCCTAACTCGATAGAATGTCAGCGAAAAGATACCCCGTGTAATCACATCACATCGGCCCGAAGTCACATTGGCACCCAATCTGAGTGCGCCATCCGATACTTTGCACAGAGAGGAAGGCACAAAGCGGCGCATTTCTTGGCTCGCCGGCTATAGCTCAGGATCACGCCAAATACGAGCAATCTTTTCGTTGCAGTCTTTTATGGCTTGCTATATCACACTTGGATGTTCGCATGGCTGAAGAGATCAGTGTGTTCGATGGTCACGTGGGTGGTGCAGCCGCAGGCAAAATGCGCGCAACGATGGCAGCATTGCGCATTCGGCATTCGACAGTGGCGGTTGCAGCATGGAGGCTGACATCCAGGTCCCTTGATGAGTCTGTGAAGTACGAGGGTGCAAGCCTTCCAGCAAGGAAGAAGTGGGTGAAAATGCACCTCCACTAGCGTATGGGAAGCGGCTGTTGGCGCCTGGGCGGGCCAGGGCAACGGTGCGGCTCGCGGCATCTCGTCCGATCCCCGAGCCAATCGCCGTGATGCCTACGACCCACAAACCTTGAGAATGTGCAAGCGCGCAAATCGCGGCGAAGATAAGATCATCGTAGGATCAGATTCGCGCCGATTGTGTGACCGAGCTGAATCCTGCGATGCAACCCATCCCGCCTTCACGCCATCTAGACCCTGACGATATGCATGCTGCATGGCGGCCCGGAGGTCTTCCTCACAGAGCGTGATGCTTTTAGCCGACAGCGCAGGTGTCTTCTCATATTTGAGATGCTTTGAAGCCACGTTCCAGGATGCTGGTAACCCACAACCCCGTCTTGCATCCTCGTCGGCATCATGTTTGCAAGAGTTCTGGCACCGTTGGCTGTCGCAAGCTTGTTTCTTACCACTGCGTCGGGAACTCCTACCTCGCCATTTGACCTCTTCGCCAGAACACCCGCAGCAGGTATTGACGTGAAGTCATTAGCACCGTCTCTCTCTGCCACCGCGAAGATTTACCTCCCCGATACGAAGGAGTTTGCTACTTACACCACCCGATGGTCCAATCTACAGGCTCCCACGCCGAGCATTGTAATCGCCCCGGGTACGGAGAGAGATGTTCAGAAAATTGTAAGTTCATCCGTAGACGGTAATGCAGGAGAGACAAGCAACAACAGCTGATACGTCCACGGCAGGTCGAGTTTGCGAATGATCACAACATCCCGTTCCTCACCTACAACGGCCACCATGGAACACTTACGACCTTGGGCAAGATGGACTATGGTATCGAGATCTATCTGCCGCAGCTGAACTCAATCTCCATTGCCAAAGACGGAAAGTCAGCAACAATCGGTGGTGGAGCCAATGTGAAAAACCTCACAGATACCCTCTGGGCCGCCGGGAAGCAGACTGGTAAGCTTCCTAATGTCACAATAGACTTGGCCTGCTCTAACACCACTTAGTCACCGGTTGCTGCGAATGCGTCAGCTACTTGGGACCGGCCCTCGGTGGCGGTCACGGATGGTTCCAGGGTCACTATGGTCTCATCACCGATCAGTTCCTTTCCATGAATGTCGTGCTCGCAAACGGAGACTTTAGGACGATTGACAGCAAATCAGACCTATGGTGGGGTATGCAAGGGGCTGGCCACAACTTCGGCGTCGTCACATCCGTTACCACAAAGGTGTACGACATCGAGCACTACGACTGGGCGATTGAGACTATTGTCTTCAGTGGTGACAAAGTCGAGCAGGTCTACGAGGCGGCAAACAAGTATATTCTTCAAGGCGGGAAGCAGTCCGCGGATATACATGACTGGACGTACTGGCAGAACGATGCAAGATACGATACCGAAGGGGTAAGATACACGATCCCGAATGAAGTACATTCGCTAACATGTATTCAGCCGGTCATCATCATCTACATCGTCCAAGAGGGCGTTACCACTGTCGACTCCAAATACACCGCGCCCTTCCACGCCATTGGCCCTCTCGCCGCCACGCCCCAGTCCGGCACCTACAAAGATCTCGCAAAATGGACAGGCATCGCGCTCGAATCGCCTCCATGCCAGGACTTCGGCTTCAACAACCCCCGCTTCCCGATCTACATCAATTCCTACAACGTCACCGCGCAGCGCAAAGCCTGGGATCTCTACTCGTCCTCTGTCGCTGGAGCCGACAATCCCTACTTCAACTCCATCTTCATGTTCGAAGACTACGCCAGCGGTGCTGTACGCGACCGTAGCAACGATGCTAGTGCATTCGGCTTCCGCGACGCGCACACCCTCGCTGCGCCGCTTATCATATACAATTCGACCGGAAAGGTACAAGACGAAGCCGTCAAGGAGCTCGGCACGCAGCTTCGTGAGATCATTCGCGAGGGCACAGGGTCTAATGAGCTACACACCTATGTAAACTATGCGTATGGTGATGAGGGGCCAGAGGCTTGGTATGGTCATGAGAGCTGGAGGCAGAAGAAGCTGAAAGCGCTCAAGAAGAAGTATGACCCCAAAGGGAAGTTCAGCTTCTACGCGCCTATTGCGTAGGCGTTCATGATCTGAATGTTGAAAAAAGTAATTAAAATACATCACAAAGCCTATACCCGTCTCGATTTGACTGTGATGTTGAGGTGTGCCCACAGTGTACATGAACTTGTGGGTCTGGGGAAAAGGGTATGATACAATACCCTGCATACCGCACGCTATTCTACAGCTATGTAAAGGCCATGAACGAAAAACCTTGCCGCTGACGTTCTTCTTCTGGTGTATACGGCTGAGCGATTACCACTCGTACCTTCTCCTCGGTAGATTGGGTTTGGATCCCATCGCCTAGCTGCGTATAACAACGGTAGTCTCTTTCTGGACAGACTCCGAAATGTCTATCGAGTTTCCTAAGACCAGGAAAGTCTTGGAAGCCGATCATCCCTCTTGGTAAAAGCAGTGACATCGTTGGGCGCGGGTGCGAAGGATTTGGACGATCGGCACAAGAGGCAAACAGGGTGATAGTCGTGATGGCCCAGCGACATTCCCTCGGAAAGTTGGTGAGCCAATTGCGAAGATCATCTTTTGTCTCACACCGGAAGTCACTGAGTGACCATGGTAAGAGACGGGCTTCGTTGTATATTTGTCGACAGACACGAAGCAGAGCTCGGTGATCGTTGCGCTCGGCTTTCGGAGTTTTGCAGGTCAATTTACGACGCGTATCGATATGCCATACATTACCACCCAGAGTAAAGTCGTAGATCCTGTTGCGTATCTCTCCGGGGAGTTTAAGTAAGGGTGACATAGTGCGGTTGCGTTCGGTACTGCATACTCCTTAGCTAATTAGAATCGTTTTTGGGGATGGGAAACGCACATTGCTTGTAATTGTGCCATGCCGGAGTGATGGAATCTTGGTTGAAGTTGTTGTTGAGGGTGTGTAGAGAAGTGGCCGCGTTTTCTCGAGGCCCAAGTCGGAAGATTGATATACCACAGCACTGCTAGGGCTGGCCTCAGTTGGCCGCGGGTGAAAAGCCTCACGGAGCCAGCATTGTTGTACTACCCCTTTCTTCACTTTGTGCAACAAACATGGGCTTTCACCATGCGGTTTATTACTCATCGCTCCCAATCGGACATGTCAACGTGACCCGATGAACGAAGCTGACTCAATGGCCCCAGTATGCTATATCTGCTTAGCTGTCAGTTCATTGGCTTTCAAATGCATGCAATTTCCTGATCCAAAGGCATCACAACGATATGAGGACGTCGCGACCGGCGACATGTGTTCGGTGGAGGGTGATGTTGGTGCGACACAAACGCAGGCCGCAGATAATGGACACTTCATTGCCGCGGCGTTGGTATTTAAATTGATCAGATCACATACTAAGAGACCAAGCGCACATTCCGGGCTTTACATCAAGAACACCCTTCTGGCGACCCTCATAACGGGGCTCACAAGTCTCTTCATTAGGCCTGGCGTGGGTTCGCCAGTCAGAAACCAATCGTACACCATTGCCCACGCTTTATTCCCACGAGTATCGAGGACATCGCCATGACAGGGTATAATTCGCTCGATCTGCCATTCCGCTACTCTCTTCGCATCGCGTGGCATCAAAGTGTAGTCAACGGTCGCAATGTGGTAAACGAGGCGTTTCGCCCATATCGATCGCGGATGTGCGCGCTTCGCGAATTCGCGCGAGAAAGGACCTTGGTGCGACGAGCTAGGATTATATTGCTGACCGAACGTCAGCGTCCGATGTCGCGTACGCGTCCGGTGATTGCGCGACATACCTCGGTGCATGGTAGGTTCATCATCAGATCGGACTGTATCAGTGTCTTCGTCGGCTTGTGATACCAAGCGACACAGTATGTGATGAAGCCCTCAAACAGTACGGTCTCGATGTCCTGCGCGAAGTCGAACTGGTCTTCTGGACTTGTCCGCCAGTCCTCGTAGATGTAGTCCCATTCCACGTCTTTTCTCTTGCTTTCCAGACCCGGAACGCCGATTGTCTTTGCTTCTGGCCAAGCATCGATATAGTCTCTCACATACATGTGATGCCCAAGATCACACGCCACGAGATCAACGCCTCCAACCTTATCCAGCTTGTCGCGCACCGCTTGTTCGAGCTGGATGGGGTTGAGGAGAAGGACTCGGTTGTCGTGTAATCGGATAGCTGTTGCGCGATTGCCCACTGCGACAAATTTGCGGTAGCCGAAGGGCGCGAAGCGGTTGAACGGCGTGGAGAAGGTGGTGATGGTGGGCGTGACGTCGCGAATGGTGAGCCCAGCGGAAGGCATACTCGCGTCGAGGTGTGATTGAAAGCTGTCTGAGCCTTGTATCGATGATATCTCTGCGGTATCGATGATCGTGGGTTTGGTACGCGAGGCTATCGTCTAGACATGACGCGGGTGATAAGTTGGGACATCCATGATGCCGTCATGACGCTGTGCGGTCACCCGGGAATGTGAGATTCGTGTCCTAAGACACTCAAAACGGAGCAACATCGTGGACGCGATGCTGCACTTTGTGGGTAGCAGTATATATTACCTAGTCTACGTTTTACTGGGTTGAAGTCGATTCGCATGTATGCAGTAGACGACTGGACATCGGGCATTCCAGTAGTTTAGAGGCGGATGTATTATTCTCGGGCTGTCTAAAGACCACAGGCTTATAGCTGATCACCTTCACAGTTATCAGACAACGGGAATGCGATAGCCGTGGGCTGCGGTCCCGACTGTCAGCTCGAATCTGCCCACCGCGGCAGGTGGGCTTTGACGCTCGCAAGCCACCCGGGCCAATCGTATTGATTGAGCTCTTGTCGATTCAGGAACGGAAATATGGTAGACATCCGCTCCCGGCGTGAGAGTGTACATGGCATCGTGACAGCGATTTGATGTGTTGAAGGATGGTCTGTCGTGAACATGATGCGCGTGTACCGAGGACTGACGCGGCATCGGCGCTCCCTGCCCGGGCCGACACCCGGCCGATCGCTGCACTTGTCCGCGACTTCAACAGCGTCACACAGTATTGCACCAGCATTGTATGCTGCCATCAGCGTTTCGCGCTCGCGATCAGCATTCAGGTCGGCCGAACCTGGAAGTCGCGTTCTAACATCAATTCCGCACGCAAATGATTGTACCTACGTAACACCACTTCCACGTGATTTACGCAGCTCCCGCGCTTACTTAATCACCTTCACCTTCACCTTCACCATCACTGCTAGTACATCCGGCTTCTGCCTGGGTCGCCTTGGCGTATGGTCCAAGCTCCATGTGTCCATCTCCTGCCTTGTCTTTCTCTCTCGATCTTCCTCCAGCACCAGACCACGCCAGGGCAATACTCGACAATGCCCCACGCGCGTCTTCGCTATCAATCTTCTATTGTCCTCCATCGGAACCGAGATCGCGGTAAGTCTTTCTTCCTCCCACAGTTAGTATTAACACATCAGGCACTTCGCTTGCGACTTCCCCAATCGCCTCTCCATCTTTTCAGACATCATCGACACCAGGGAGTGAGTCAGGTCGGCTGAACCCCAGCATCGTGGCTCGCCCTGGTGGCATCCGACCGCGTCCAGCGTGTGGTGGTGCAGTGTGCGGGAAAGTCAAGTGGCCGGCTCCACTTCACTTACACTTCGCATGAGCAGGAGAATGCACGTATATCGAGCGTGCAGGACCCTAGCCGACGACATTATGAGAGCGGCTGGTCCGACGATAATGCACCGTCGATGAGACTGATCACCCTGATTCGGGAAGCCTGCGGGTGTGTACTGAAAACTCGATGAGCTGGACTCGTCGCGTGGATGGCAGTTCGACAATATGCCCCGGCGCATCACGTCTTACCCGTCGGTCAGGTGGGCAGGATCGAGCAGATTCTTTTGCTTCGTCCTGCTGGGTGTCCAGACCTCGCGGGTACATGTTCGCCCGAGGTCCCTCCCCAGCTCAGACCCTCATTACTGTGTCATATGAGAAGATACCTTTTTCATTGAGTCTTCACCAGCTCCTGGTGTGGCTTGAGGAAGATGACAGCTTACTACCGTGAGCGCATGCGTTGACCATGAGAGCATGAAGAACACAAACACATGTAGGTTTCTCAATCGATTGAAGACACCACTTTGTAGTCCTCAAACGGATGTCCTTTCTCCTCAAGGTCGAATACAGACATGGCCTTCACGCCGACAATTCCCGGATGCGGCAAGCTCAAGCAACCAAGGAGTGCATATGTTCGCCAGGCCTTCGGCTTCTTTTCACCTTATAGCTACACAACCCCCATGTCACTCCCCAGCCATGATCCTCATGATTGTGTCATTTGGATGCGGTTCGTCACAGTGTTAATGTCATCATCGAATGGCGAGTCCGCTCACGATGCATCGCCGTACGAAACTACTTTTTTTCATTGAGTCTTCACCGTTTACTAATGTCGCTTGAGGAAGAAAGCGAAGTTTCACGACGCATATGTAAGACAAACATAGAGCTTTGCAGCATACAGCCACTTACCCGCTTCCTGTGGGATTACCGATGCAAGCTTGTAGTCTCTAAAATGATGTTTGTTGTTCGCATTCTTGAGCAACACAGTCCAGGTATGTGGCATGCTTGCCTCGCCCATCGATCTGGATACGGGCTGACTCTGATGTCGTCTGCCTGCCATTGCACAGCATCTAAGCCGATACGACTACGATCAAGATCCGCTTCGCTTGTTGGCGCTTCAAAGACATACTTGAGAAAGACATGCTGCTCTTCGTTGCGTACATCACTGATGGTCATTCACGAATTTCCATCAATCGCATTAACCAAGTGCATCGCGACTTCGCTGACGAAGCGACGAATTCCGCGCTTCGACACAACACCCTGGTATGTACGGATGTGGGAAAGTTCGTCAGGCTCATCGAGATGGACAAGAAACGTCTCCGGCTCTGCCTCCGACAAGTCATCCTCAGGACAGAATGAGGGATGTCTTCCCGAAGACAGAGGATCTTCACAGCATATTGCGCCAGCAGCGGTTGAGATGCTCGTCAAGGACATAAGGAGCTGGTATGAGGAAGGCGTGTGAGTTCATGTATTCGCGAAACCTTAGGTGGTCGTATTATTATATATACGTACCTCCGATATGTCCCTCAAGAATTACGCGTCGTCCGTACAGCCTTGCTGCCATCATACATCGTCGACCATCCGCCACCGTCCACTCATCAACGCATTACTCTCCTCACAACTCTCATCCACCAACTTCCTGCTCCCCTCCATGTCCACGACTGGCAGTCTGACTTCGAATCTCTTCCCTTCCGGCGGCGCAGCGCCCTCGATATCGTACGGGAAAGACACGTACTCCGGCAGCAGACCCAATTGTTTCAGCGCCGTCGCATGGTCCCAGCTGATGTGTTCATGACACAGTCGATCACCGCGCATAGCAACGACACTCGTGAACGGTATGGCGAGTGGCTTTCCGGTGGGAGGGATACCGGGAAGCAGCCAGGGAACTTCTTTGGTGTGGGTAAGCGTGAAGATGAACTCATCGATCACACGGTCTATGCCTACGGTTCGGGAAACGAGGGCAAGAGCGGTGTCGGGTGGGTTGCTGAAGACGAAGTGGTGCGTGTAGAACGCCGTCAGTCGCTCTTGGCCTACGCCTCCGCTGGTGGGTGGTCAGTATCCACCTGCAATGCGGGTATTGGAGGATGGTGGTTAAGAGATACGTACGTCATAGTCGGGATGTGGTTGACATACGGCTGGTCCACCATCGTAGCCATCGTCTTCTCTACATCCCTCTCGCCGAACTCGAACTTGGTATGCTCTTCCCACACAGCCTCCAGATCGAAGAAAGGGCCGCCGACCAGCGGCTTCAAGAAAGTCAGACTCCTGGTATGCGCAATGCCCGCGCTTCGCTTGTGATAATGCTCATCGCTTGGAAGTACCCATTCAGAATCTTTTGTCGCGTCTTCGTATCGATAAGTTTTGATAATGTTCTCCGGGGTTGGCACTGCGTTCTCCGAGGATGATTCTGGGACCAATGAACATGATTCGCGGCGATGAGAGTCTGGCAGCCCCGCGACGTGTATTAGTTGAGGTGGCAGTGCTGTCGAGCTTAGTGTGGAAAGGCTTTTGCCGCCGTAAGAGATAAGGGCCTTGATCGCGGGGTTCTGACAGGCAGCTTCTTCGAGGTAGTAGGGAATCCTGGATAGGTATGCTGGAGACGGTTGTTAGTATGCAGCCAAGGTAACCATACGCGATGCGAGAGAGTCGACGCACATATCAGTCCAACACCGTTGCCGAACTCGCATTGCTCACAATCCCTCAATACGTCCAAGGCCTTCTGGAGAGGAAATTCGCCATCGACTTTGCCCGGTACCAGCAGCTGCCAGACAGTCAGTATTTCGACCAAGCCATCACATTTCCTGTCATTCATCACGCGACATGTCCCACCGTTCCATCGTCATGCTCACTTCACCAAGACATAGCAACATACCTGCACAACCGCGAACCCCTCCTCCGCCCACTTCTTCAGCGGCGGCGGATCCAAACACCCCTCCTTCGCTTCCCTCGCCGCATAATGGTTCAACACCAGAACCAAACCCGGCCCTTTCCCTCGCCTCGAAAGCGGCGCCTGAAGTGTGATATCCGATGTTATGATTTGAGGCTGCGGTGGCGGGGCCTGCGCCGGTGATGACGATGGTGGGGTAACGGGAGCGCCACCCATGATTGTCGGGATTGCGATGTTTACTTTTTCTGTTAAAAGGGAAAAGGGTGGATTGGTAGAGGTATGACTAGATGGGTAAGGGAGAACACAATGAGATTGTTCCGAACAAAAGAAATGACGTTCCTGACACCTTCCTAACGCGTGCAGACGGGTAAGTGTGGGGTAAAAAGGACGAACCGCTGCTCCCGCAGTCACTACATCCCATCAACCACCAGACAATCCTGCGCTCATCAGCTATTTGAGCCCCTCGCATGCTAGCTTGCATCTGCGCGTGTCTTGATCCTGCACGACAACGTCCTCCCATATCTTCTCAGGTAACACCGACTCGATATAAAGTCGATCACTCCCGCAAGTAGAGTGCTCGTGTCGCACCAACCCCTCTGTAAGAGCTCGATTGAGCGATTCCGCGCATATCGCACGGCGTCACGAGATAGTGCTGTTACATCTCATAGCGTTGTTGACGCGTGCAGGTCGGGCTTTTCTGGGTCATGTGCGAGATGCTTCGTAGACGAAGTGATGCGATTGGGTTGATTTCAGCTGAAGTAGCGTGGTCCGTGGCATGTTCGTGCGTATCAAGGGGATTCGAGTGCGAAACAGGGTTAGATTTGGGGTTTGCTAGAAGCGCATTTAAGGCTGTCACATCTCTTTTAAGAGAGACGCAAGCAGGGCATACATGTCTGCGCAGGACCAGATCGACCTGTGTCGTCCCGTTGCTGTACCAGGCACGCACTGGCCAGGCTTCCGAGGCATGCATCGCATCCAATCGACCTCCTCTACAATATGTGTGTCACCGAACCCACGCGGAGACAGCGCCAAGCGAGATATGTTGATGTCACGTGGACTCTCCGTGCAGAGTGCAAACAAAGAAGCCGGTATGCATGAGGAACTGAGCGGGGAATGGAAAAGTGAGCGCGAAATTTGTTTCGTCCACAGGACATTGACGCGTTCATGTCCAACGCGTCCGTTGCTCTTCTTCCTCGACGTCGCCATCTCCTTCCAACGACGAGCATACCCAACATCACAAGGCACATCTATCCTCCTCCGATCCTTTCACGCACGACTCCAAAGAAGTACACTGGCTAGTACCGCACCAAGAACGGCTACCTCGCTATCGTTACATCCGACGGCGTTTCCCTACATCTGGGCAGCATCAGCCATGTCTGCGACAACATCCTCGAAACCTGGGACCTAGGATGGTCCAACATACCCACGGTTCAGAATTGGTGGTGATTCTGCAGAGGAACGGGCCCTCAACGCTGAATTCCAGGCCTCCAAGCCTTGCGTCACCAATACAAGCGAGGTGTCACGAAGCCGTGACGGACAATACGGTTTAGACCCCATTCAGGTCTGCATGCGCATAGTAACACCAAATCGATACTTGTCTTGCCGGGTATTGCTATTCCTGTCGATGACGTCGCATTCGTACTTTTCGACACAAGATAGGTACGTCTGTCAGGAGCATACGCTTACTGCATCAGGAGAGGACGTCAAATGTTATGTTCGTTTGATGACTGCAAAGTGAGGAGTACTAACGGCGATGATTGGTATCATGCAATGTGAGCTCCCGGGCGCCCAGTCATGTTGCATCTATCTACATCTTGAGCTAATGTAGTCGCTAGGCTGCTGTGGAAGCTACCCCAGCATCGCTCGTCAGTCCCTTGAGTTCTTTTAGTACCTTCGCTGCAATCGCGACGGCATCTTCAGGAAGACCTGTATTCGTTAGTTACCATCTCCAAAACTGTACTTCTGAAGCGCACGACTTACCAGCAACTCTCGCGACCTTCAACGCATGGCTCTCGCGATTGACACCCTTCCTCAGCCGATGCACGTATGAGAACTTGCCGTCTGGCTCTTCAAGGACATCGTTGCAGTAGCAGCCCAACTTCGCAAAGTCCTTTGTCATGTCCGTGAGCGCGTGGAAGTGGGTTGCGAAAAGCGTTCGACATTGATTGACGTGGTAGAGGTGGTGGAGGCAGGCGTATCCTACCGCGATACCATCCTCGGGTGTCGTCCCACGCCCAACTTCATCCATAATGACGAAAGAGCGCGGTGTAGCCTCTTTGAGTATTTGAGCCGTCTCCAACATCTCAACCATAAAGGTGGATTGATCTTGGTACAAGTTGTCTGCTGAGCCGACGCGACTAAAGATCTTGTCGACTAGCCCGATCTCCGCGTACTCCGCTGGAACGAAAGATCCAGTCTGCGCTAGGATGGAGATGAGCGCATTCTGGCGGAGGTATGTACTTTTGCCAGCCATGTTTGGACCGGTGATGAGCCAAATGCGCTCATTGTCACCGAGTTGGCAGTCGTTGGGGGCGAACCTGCGGCCTTGTTCGCTGAGGCCGGCTTCGACGACAGGATGCCGACCACCGACGATGTTATGCGATGGCTCTGCACTCAGTATGGGTCTGATGAGATCTTTCCTCATCGCGAGTGTAGCAAAGGCGCATGCGACATCAAGCTCATCGAGCACAGCGGCGTTACGTCTAAGTTTCACAAGGTTCTGGACGACACCTTCGCGCAGCTCACCGAGAACACGTTGTTCTTCTGTTCGGATCCGGAATCGTGTCTCGTCCATTTGCGCGCCCAGTGAAGTCCACTCCGGGATCTGAAACGAGCGGGTAGACTTGCTGCTACTCAAGCTTCTTGGATAAAAGGTAGTAGCGCGAGCTGCGTCCTTGCCCTTCACGTGAGCAATGTGCGCGAGGTTCGGAGTCCACTTCAACACCAAGCTTTCTGTACCCATCTTTTGACGCATCTCTTGTTCCAGGCTTGCCTTTGCTTCTGTCATCTTGTCCAAGCTCTTGTGAAGGCGTTCAAGTGTCGTACTGGCATTGCGCTTCATGATATGAACATCTTCCCGTCCATCGGTCGCACTCTTGAAGCTCCCAGTGATCATGGTAAGTTTCGGCTGAACGCGCTTCGGTAAGCTCTTCAGATCTTCTTCTCCAGCCTCGCGACCGATCACATCCTGGGCCAAATCGGACATCTCTTCCGCCTCTTCGTTCTCCATGCGGTGGTACTCGGAGAGACCGTCTTCGTCGATCGCATGCTGTATGCGCTTTGCGAGTTCAAGCGGTTGCGCTAGATCAAATCGACGCTCTAACATCGAAATGCACTGTCGTCTTCGGGTATCCGATGTGGCTGGAGCTGTGTCGACTGGAACAGAGTTCCTCGAAGTTGCGTGCTCGTGAAGGACGTCCACTATGCTGGAGGTGACAAGGATGGTCTTCGACAGCTCCATGAGGTCATCCGCGTCGCCACGGCCATACGTGAACTTCGTCACCAATCGTAAAGAGTCGAAAGTTTGCTCCAAGAGCAAGATGATGTCCTGACGGAGCTGCGGATATTGTATGGTCTCCTCTACGAGGTCAAGTCGATCGTTGATAGTTGACAACGACATCGATGGCGCCGCTCGGATGTGTTAGCGATGGATCGGATGAACTGGTGTGCTTCTACTTACACAAGCGCTCCGTAAGCAGCCTGGTACCGCTTTTGGTGACCGTCTTCTTGAGTGCATGTAGCAAGCTTCCTTCGTAAGTACCCTCGCGAATTGTGTTTCGGATCTCTAGCGCTCTCAAACTGTTCCTGTCAATGCTCATGTACTCCTCGGCTTGATGTCGTACCGGCGCGCGCAGTCGTGTCCGTGAACCTAGCAGTTGATGCTTGACGTAATGTAACAACGAGCCTCCTGCTGCGACTTCGCCGGGAGTGAAGTTGGCCGTGTCGAAGTCTTCCACGACATCTTCCAACATCGGTATCCAGTCGTCGATAGTGAGCGGCTTTTCTGAGGGTTCCTGAAATGTGATGACATGTCCGTCTTCTTGCATGATCGAAACGATACGCGAGTGATCCTGCTCTTGAAAGATTCTGTCTAGTACAATTTCTCGGGGTTTGATACGGGCTACCGCAGACGGCAAGGACGCGATGTCTGTGCTCTGGGTGAGGAAGTCGCCACTTGACAGATCAATCCAGGCCAGGCCGACCTCCGTACGAGGTAAGTTGAGAACAGAAGAGACACTCGAACTGCCAGGACTCTCCTTCACAGCCTTTTCTTGCGTAAGTACTTCGGGATTGACGTAAATGCTAAGGAGATAGTTATTCTCCCATGGGTCCATGAAATGTTCATCGATCAGAGTACCTGGTGTCACGATGCGCGACACTCGCCTGGTGTACTGTGGTTCTCCCTTCGCCTTTGTCGGTGCATCATTGAGATACTCGTCGCTAATAGCGACATGTTTGCTGAGGTCTTGGACGAGAATCTTCAGATACCTGTCAAGTTGGTATGCAGGGAAGCCTGCCTGACGGTGTCAGTGTCATGACAGGTCGCCGAATTGGACTACTGACCATGGAGACGGCGGGCTTCTTGCTACCCTTCGAAACCTTCCTCTTGGACTTTTTGATATTCAGAAAGGGCGCAAATTCGTCAGCATGCTCGAAGTACAGCTGCAGCCTGCATTAGCTCTCTGGACATGTCGCACGACCTGCATGCTTGCCTCATAGAAACCGCCGACGCGTGTGACTAGCACGCAGTGACTGAACTTGAGCATGTTGTTGCGCACTTGCTGCAGCAGCGGAGGGTATTCCGGTTCGGCGTCATCTTGGGGTGGCAGTACCTCGGCCTCCAAAGGTCCTTGTTGGAGGTCGTCAAGGGTCGCGGCAGATTTCCTCTTTGCACCACGACATTGCGACACCGGAAAGCATCCTTGGCCAACGAACGGTGTTGCACGTGGTTTCGCGATCGGACGCGTCGAGCTTGAGAGTGGGGGTAAGGAAGCAGTACTGCAAACCCTCCGGCTCAGCTGATGTGAAGCTTTTCGGCACGCCAGGTGATGTCGCGTCAGACATCTGGCATGTCTGGACAGCATCCTCGGATGGAATTGGCGTCAGGGAGATGTGGGGATAGCGCGGTGGTAGAGATGCAGGAACGCGTCTCGATGCGGTTAGCGCCCAATCTGCACGCGCGGGGTATCCGGAGCTTGAACAAAGTTACGACGCCGATGTCATTGACGTCCGACATTTACACCATCCACAACAAGATGGCACCCCAATTCGAGCCCATGAAGAATGACCTCATTCTGCGCACAGCACGAGGTCAAGAGCCTTAATCGGTCAGCAACGTACAGCGTATTGACATTCAACAGGCGAAAAGGTCGAGCGCCCACCGATATGGGTGATGCGCCAAGGTAAGATAGATCGTGAGGAAACCTCATCAATGCTGACAGCATATAGCCGGACGTTACCTGCCGGAATACCACGAGGCGAAAGGCAAGAACGACTTCTTTGAATGCTGCCGCAGCCCCGAAATCGCCTCCACTCTCACCCTCCAGCCCATCGAGCGCTACGAAGGCCTCATCGATGCCGCCATCATCTTCTCCGACATCCTCGTTATTCCGCAAGCAATGGGCATGGAGGTCATAATGGTAGACAAGAAAGGTCCGCATTTCCCCGAGCCGCTGCAAACGCCAGAGGACAAGCAGTACAAGGAGGTTCTTGAGAGGAAGGTGGATGTTGCCGAATCGTTGGACTATGTTTACAAGGCCATCACCATGACTAGGCAAAAGCTGGCAGGAAGAGTGCCGCTGATTGGCTTCTGTGGCGCGCCCTGGACATTGCTGTGCTACATGGTCGAAGGCGGTGGCAGCAAGATGTTCATTCAGACCAAGACATGGATCTACAAGTACCCCGAGGAGAGCAAAGCGCTGCTGCAGAAGATTGCCGAGCTTTGCGTGGAGTACCTGGCTCTTCAAGTTCAGGCTGGTGCACAGGTACGTGGCATTGCCAAAACACATCGGTCCGATGCTGACTGTCGCAGATGATCCAAGTCTTCGACTCCTGGGCGGGAGAGCTATCGCCAACCTCCTTCAAGACCTTCGCTCTGCCATACCTCAACTATATCGCCGACAACCTCCCCGCACGACTCCAGTCCAAGGGCCTCGAGCCTGTCCCTATGACCGTCTTCGCGAAGGGAGCGTGGTACGCCTTGTCGGATCTTTGCGACACCAAGTATAACACCATCGGCCTCGACTGGCTGCATGCGCCAGCGGAAGCGTACAAGATTGCGCAGGCAAAGGGCAAGGTTCTTCAGGGTAATGCCGACCCAGGTGTCTTGTACGGCACCAAGGAGTCCATCACGAAGGTAGTAGAAGAGATGGTCGCTGGGTTTGGTGGCGGCAAGCAGGGATGGATCGCCAACCTTGGACACGGTAAGTCAAGCCATGGGTTACATGACATGTCGCATCGTGCTAATAACTCGCAGGTATCACACCATTTGTTAAGCCAGACGACCTAAAGTTTTACTTTGAAGAGATCCACAGATTAACGAAAGCCTAAGGTCATATTGAGGGTTTGACATAGCTATATAACCCTGCCGAAAGAGCTTTCGAAGCACTCCCAGTCTCTGATGATTGTGATCACTCTCATTTGACCGCCGTCACGTGTTGCGCACTGACCTACCTAGGTAGGTCGCTTGCCTTACCCTCCCCCCGCCGAGTCCTACCCATGACTATCAACAAACCATTGCACATCTTCTCCAAAATCACCCATTCGTACAACATGACCAATCCAGAGATGTGGCCGATATCCAGCCCCAAGACGTCAGTAGAGCCGTACATCGCATTTGGGCCTCCCCTACTGACACGGAGAATTAGTGAGCAGTCCGAGGTCAACGGCGCTCCGCACGCCATCATCGAGTCACCACTTCTCCGCCTCCCACCCGAGCTTAGGAACGTTATCTTCGCCTACGCACTCGATCACGGGACAGTCTCTCCCCACCTCGGAACGACTTGTCTGGAGCGCAGGTTGAGGAAAGACCCGATCCGTAAGCGCTTCGGTCTGCTATTCACCTGCCGACAGATCTACGCGGAAACTGCTCTCCTCCCATACAAGCTCAACACGTTCAGTGTTCGGGGCTTGATACCCTTATTGGCTCTCGAAAATTTCTTGTGTAGGCGAACTCAGGCTCAAATGCAGGTGATGGACAAGGTGCAGATGGACCATGAAGAAGTGCGGGCGGCGACGGTGTGGATGGAGAAGATTGCCAGTTGTGAGCTTGAGCCGGTTTGGTATGCAACCTGAGATTGCGCTACTTCAAGGATTGGACATGTCTTGATCAAGCTACGATGCGTGAGCCTGGATGTCTTCCGTGTGCTCTTGAAAGGCGGTGGTAAAGGTTATGGGATACCGTATACTATAACGCCTCATGATTAGACTCGCAGCGACTGTCGTGTTGGCAATCGAGAACCTCTCCACTATGTCATCAAGACATTTCTGCTCGTTGTCAAAGCGCTGTAGACCCTCGGGGGTGATTTCATTGTTAGTACGAAGGAACCTAGTCGAGGGGTCCTCGTTCGCTGTCTAATCTGATGTGCGCTCCTGGTATATTGACACTACTTTCTCGCCCTACTTACCTGCAGTTGAACTTTCAATCTACGACGACCAACTCTACAGTCAACCAAGGACCGCCATGATGTCGATGCGTCTACAACCGAGGAAGCGATCAGCGAGAAGCATGGAGATGTCACGGCAAGCATCACTGATGCGAACTTACATGTAAACCACTCTACAGAATACAATACCTACAACTAACGCAAGGCAAAAAGCTCCGAGCGCAATGCAGCCGCCTCGCCCCTCCTCCGCCTGCCCGCAGAACTGCGAAACGCCATCTTCGCCTACGCGCTCAACCACGACACTTTGGTTTCCGCTCTCCCATTTTCAAGCGATCGCATCCTCAAATTCCTTCACCGGAATCCGATCAATCTCTTGTTCGTCTGTCGCCAGATCTATTCCGAAACGGCGCATCTTCCGTACAAGCTGAATTCGTTCGTGATCAATTGCTATCACCCTCGCAGTATAGCCACATTCCTGAACCGCCGAACGTCAGCTCAGATCAAGCTCATGTTGGACGTGACGGGACAATGGGCAAGGCGTAAGCCCCGGCGCAACGAGATCTGCGACATGCGCATGTCTGCGGGTGAATGGTTAGTACGTCTACGTACACAAGGGGATACGGCCGCCGAATTTTGGACATGATTGAAGATCTCATTCTCGGCGAATCTTGATGGGGAAAGCGCGATGGTTGGACATGTCTCGCAGATAACTGGACTTTGTTGTTACAGCCACCTTCAGCTAGCTTGACGCTAGGCGCACAGACGCAGTGTGAATACCAACAACTTCAATCCCATTCCATCACTCTCGTGTTTCCTCTCCAACGTCCGCGCCCGCACCATCTACTTGAAGTTTAGCCACGGCTAGAGCATGTCGGGTCCCGAGACGCACTCCGAGGGCGCCAAGCCTCACGCCAATCCGGCTGTCGAAGATCCCACCTTCAACCGCAGTGCCAAGCTCGCAATTGAATCTCATGCAACCAGCGCCGAGCACGAGATGTAGGTCAGACGCTGACAATATGAAGTAACGACGACTAATTAGTGATAACAGTTCCCAATGCGACGCCACCTCTCCTCTTCTCCGTCTCCCCGCTGAGCTTCGCAACCACATCTTCGCCCTTGCTCTCACCCACGGAGAGATCACGTGGTCTCATGGCGCGGGTTGGTCTAAGGCCAAGAACTTGGCCAATCTTCTTTTTGTCTGTCGGCAGACTTATGCGGAGACTGCTCTTCTCCCATACTCATTAAACTCTTTTGTCTTCGCAACGATGAGCGTGCAGTCAATCGGCAATTTTCTGAAGCGCCGAACACCTACACAAATCGAGCTTATACATGAGCTGAGTTGCGAATAGGTAGGTAGCAGAACATCGTATGGGTACTTGAGGTTCCCGGCGACCAACTGGATGGCTACATTGCAGATCTAGGAGAGCAATAACTTGTAGCTTAAGTAGAGACTCTTGATATGCTTACCTCGGCTGGACAGTCCTTGGACGACGCCAATGTAACTTCTTTTCGAGCAACCTTCACATCTTAGAAAGAGGCGTGAGCGCATTGGTCGAGTGATGCTACTCAAGCCCATTCACTCGTTATTTCTTGTATCCAGCGCACTGACCTATAGCGCGCATTCCCGCTTCTTATTCTCCTTATAGTGCCTTGCGCTCAAGTGACGGTTTCCAACAACTTCAGCATGTCAACCTCAAGAACGCAGCGCACCAAGTATGGGACGACGAGCCGCGCGAATAAGCGTCGAAACAACATGTTTGTCAAAGCCTAATACGATTTTAAACTGTCAGCTAACAATCTTCGCTAGTACCGAGCGCAACGCCATCTCATCTCCACTCCTCCGTCTTCCCCCCGAACTCCGCAACCACATCTTTTCTCTTGCTCTCAACCACGGTTACATCCCGATAACCTATCCAGAGCGCTCTCGCTGGAAGATTAAACGAGCCGCGCCCCAGTGCTCGCAATATCGTTACCACTACGAGCGACTCTGCGACTTCTTCTACAAGCGCATAACCTTCTCTTCGAGGTCCTGCTGCTTCAAGCTCCAAAAGCGTCCATCCCGCAGATCCAAGCCTCGCGACCATCTCAGGCGGCCCATCAATCTTCTCTTCGTTTGTCGCCAGATCTACGCCGAGACCGCGCTTCTGCCGTACAAAGTCAATACATGGGTAATTGAGTTAGATAGGCCCTGGGAGAATCAACGATTGGGGTTGGATCATCACTATATGTATGATCCAGCGCTGTTCCTGGATACATTGACCGCATCGCAGAGGGAGGTCATGCAGAATGTATGGTCACTTCACAGTTTTGGTGGCAGCGGGGAGGTAACTATGGGGTCTGGGGAGGATTGGATGTGGTACATGTGGCCAGAGGACAGATCTAAGGCCTTTAGAACTGAGGATTATGAGGATACGAGTATATTTTTAACACCTTGAGGTGTCGGTTTGAGAAGGCGCAGCGGCTGCGCGTACGGGCATGGAGTGGGACTAGCTTCGCACTCACCTTCACTAGCGCGATGACTAGGGCCTCATTTATACTTCTCTCGCTCTATCGCTCTTACTCTTCTACAACCACCAATTATACGTCATCGTCAATCAGCTTCACGTCCATTAGCAGGGAAGTCGAAAGCGATATGTCGGCGCTAGAGGAGCAATCACAGAGTGATCGCGATCAAATGTAAGTTTCCCTCGGTCACGAAACAGGATGACTTACACTGACATGTCCCTTCAGCACCCAGCGAAACGCCAAATCACCTCTTCTGCGTCTCCCCGCGGAGCTTCGCAACCAGATCTTTGCGCTAGCCCTTACACAGCCTACTATTGAGATAGTATGGTCTCACCTGCACTGGAAGTTCAAGTTTCATGGGGGTTCTCGGCCAAACTCCGTTCGACAGCCGCTCAACCTGCTCTTTGTCTGTCGACAGACCCACGCTGAGACTGCCACTCTTCCCTACAAGCTTAATACATTTGCTGTAGAGTGGGTCTGGGAGCGTCAGCCTCCGAGGAACTTTCTTCACCAGAGGACAGCGGCACAGAAAGCAGTGATGGGTAGTGTCAGTCAGTTGAGTTTGTTTTATGAAGAAGCAGCAAAGACTAGGTCCGCAACGGAATGGATGGCTCTTACGGAAGAAGAAGGCTTTCTTGCTGCCTGCTCGGAGGAGTGATAGGATGGACACTTGACCGCGCCAAAAATCTCCAGTTGCGAGAGGGAGTGGAGTCTGTCTCTCATTGCTTGTGCAACAAAGGGTTCAATACAGCCAATTTCAACCCCTGCAAGTATGTATCTGAGGTGTAGAGCTACTATTGCCGTGCACTTACCTTGTGCGATCTGCGCACTGACTACAAAATACATCTCTTCTTTTACAGTCCACCCCAGTTTCTACACACACTTCCTCGAACCGTCTTCGCAACACCAATCGCCAACTCCGACGTCAACATGAACACAGAAGAGCAGCAAGAAGAAGCGTGCGCTCACATGTAGGTCTCAAAAGAATGCGAAGCTCTTGGAAGTAGGTACTAATACATAACTGCAGTACTCAACACAATGCTACCGCCTCTCCACTTCTTCGTCTCCCCGCAGAGATCCGCAACATGATCTTCGCCTACGCCCTCAGTCATGGCGACATCGAGCTGAACGTCGTTCCCAGGATACAAAACGCACCCAGTCGTAAGGGCTGTTGGAAGCATCTCAACTGGCCAATTCCTGTCAACATCAGTCTAATCTACGCATGTCAACAGATTCACTTCGAGACCGCACTACTTCCATACGAGCTCAATGTCTTTGTAGTTGCCGGGAGCGACAGGGCGTTCCAGGACTTCTTTGCACACCGGACATTGGCACAGGTCGGCGCTCTGGCGAGAGTGCGGTGGGTACCGAACACGCGTTTGGGAGTGCGACCCGCGACCGAGTGGTTGGAGCGACTTAGGGTTTGCAGCGCGAGGACATGGACGAGTCGAGACTAGGGGTTCATATGGCAGATGGAATGCTCTATACATTTGAGCACCGTCTCCACGTCTACGTTGCATCTCACCACACACGTGTTCTTAGTTGTCAATGCCTTCGCGCAGGACTGCTTTTGTACAACATTTCTCTTACCTATAGCAAAGCAATCTAGCAATCAAAAGAACGAGTCCTCAACTCTTACCTTCACTTTTACCTTTACTTTTGCCAGTCCTTCTTGATCTTCGACTAGCGCGCCGAGGAGCCACCACATATACCTCTCATCCTAATCCTTCCTTCTCTTCTACACTCACCTATCCGCCTTCGTCGGCTGCCCTATACCATCATCAAGCCCAGCATCTTGCTTCCCAAGGAGCAGCAAAAAGACACTATCTCCATGATGACCTCTTCCGAAGCGCGACTAGAGGAGCCCAAGAGCGAAGAGGAGCTCGATGCAATGTGAGTTAACTTTTCGAGGGCGTGCCTTGACCAACACTGACGCAACCTTCTTTGAAGCACCTACCTCAACGCAACAACTTCGCCTCTCCTCCTCCTCCCGGCAGAACTACGTAACATGATCTTCGAGTACGCCATGTACCATGACATTATCGAAATAAATCTGTATTACAAGCCCTCCAAACGAACCGCCAGAACTCAACCACGTCATGCTGAGCCTCTGCTCTCCGTCTGCCGCCAGATCCACCGAGAGGTCGCCATACTACCCTACAAACTCAACATTTTCTTCATCAGTTTCGAATGCTATGCCGATCTTGGCGAATTTCTGACACAGCGAACGCCAGATCAACTTGATCTCATGGTCAAAGTGATGTGCCAGCTCAGGTACAGCTTTCAAGTGCACGTAGCATCTGCTGCCAAATGGATGGCGAGTCTTAAGAAGATGCTGAAGAAGAAGACTTGAAGGGCGGGAGTAGATGGTAGCGACGGTAGGCGCGAGGTGTGTTGTCAGTTTGACATCGTCACTGCAGGAGGCGGACACGACAGTCTCTTCACCCGGAGTATCCGTGCACAGTGTGCTTCTCTCCACAATGGCGTCTTCCAAGTTCTGTGTGACAGCCAAGCGGTGCAGTAGAAATCTAAAAGACGACTGCGTCACCTTCACCTACCCTTTGCGACTAGCGCGCGGACTAGTCAATACATCTCACACATTCTAATGCTCCTTCCCTTCTACAATCACCTCGTAGCCACCACCAGGTAATATATACAGTTGCCTACTACATACAACCATCACTATACAAACGCCCTTGTACACTACACCTAGGCTCACACATCACACTTGAGGTTTAGTAGCCGATGTTCTGAAATCTACGCCAGACTCCTACACACCACTCTACCAGCTACCCGCACACAGGCGACAGCTTCAGCATGTCTGTCTCCACAGTGCAGCCAGAGACCAAGAAAACAATCGCGCAACAGACCCATCGCACGGATGAGATGTGAGTCAGTGCCTACCTGAGATGAGTCCTCCAAAACTAACAGACTGCTATAGCTTCAAGCGCAACGCAACAACCTCCCCCCTCCTCCGTCTCCCCGCCGAGATACGAAACGAAATCTTCTCCTACGCCATGTCCAACTCCACCATAACCGTAGCCCACACCGTCGCCACCCACAACCAGAGTACCCCCAGCAAAGGACCCTACCCATCCGCCCCCCTACTCTTCGTTTGCCGGCAAATCTACTCCGAAGTCTCTCTCCTACCATACTTACTCAACAAGTTCGTAGTCTTGACAACGCGTTTAAAAGACCTTCAAGTCTTTCTGTCTCGGCGGACACATGAGCAAGTTGAGCTTATGCGGGATGTAAGTTGGGAGTTTAATCTTCCAAATAGCAACACGACTACTGCCACGGATTGTGGGTATTGTGCGAAGTGTTGGCTGGAGTGGTTGAAGAATTACACAAACAACTGTTGATAATGTCACGCAACAAGAAATCCCCCTCATCAAGTTGAGCAACATCTTCGTAGCCAGTTACCGCTGTACGTGACATTGCTTCATCCGCCCGCTGCGATGACGTCCAATCCAAGGCGTCTCCTCGGTCTTACTAGTAATCAAATTCCCCATGGCCTACCCCCCTACCAACCCCAAACTTTACATGTCATAATGAGCGACATCACACGTCAAACCATCACATCAAACCATCACATCAATCATCACACGTCAAGCCATCACATCAATCAACTACTTGCACTCTCCATGAACAGTATCACAGAACCATCGCATTCGCATCTACTAAACCCACACTTTACCAAAACTATGCCATTGTCCGAACAGCTCGCCTGTCTAAGAGAACGCCGGCAGCAAGCGACAAAGCTATAATGATGCCTTTGCTTACAAAAAGTAAAAGAAGGGAAAAACACGACTCTCTCGCCCTCTCCCGTTGATATGGTATCGTATCGCAGAAGCTCTTTGTCGAAAACCTCCAATGCAGAAAGAAACTCCACCACGCCACGTCCCCCACGTACCTCGTACTCTTGCATTCATGCATCGTAAAATCATGCTAACTCCATCTCCACTCCAGCACAGAAGCTACACACCTCTTACTGAGACGCACACTGCACGCGCTCAGCCCCCGGATGCATATCATCATCCTCATCCTCCATACCACCCATACCCCTCGCGCGCTGGCCCTCCCCACCCGCATCAACATCCTCGAGCGTAAAGTCCTCAGTCATAGCATCAGCCGGAGGCATAGACTCCGGTACCTTACGAGGCGGCAGCACAGACTCCAGGGCGCGAATCTGTTCGGGGGACATGGGCCCGCCGTCCTCGTTGTTACCGAGGCGCTCGGGGAACTTGACGTCGAACTGGATGTACAAGTTGCCAAAGTCGTGGTGGCGGTACGACGGCATGCCTTGGCCGCGGATGACCTTGACTTCGCCGGGGGAGATGCATTCGCCGGGGATGATGTCGACGGTTAACCAGCGCTCGTCGAGGTGCTCGATGTGGATCTGGCCGCCGGCCAGCGCGGTCAGGAGATCGATTTCGGCGTGGTAGAAGAGGTCGTCGTCTTTGCGTTGGAAGCGCGCATGTGGTTTCTGCTCGATTTCGAAGACTACGTCGCCGGGTTCTACGCCGGGGAGTTGGTCGCCCTCGCCTCGGAACTCGATCTTGTGGCCGGACTTGACGCCGCGGTCGACGTGGACGTGCAGGACCTTGCGCTCGATTATCGTCTTCTTGCCGTTGCACTGCTTGCAGCGGTCCTTGTCGCGGATGATTTCTCCTTCGCCCTGGCAGTCGGGGCAGACGGTCTGGAAGCGCTGGATCATGGGGCCCATTTGGCGCATCATGTGCTTCATACCGCGGCCGTCGCAGCCAGCGCACTTCTTGACGGCGCCGTCCTTGCCACCTGCGCCGTGGCACTTGGGGCAGATGACGGATTTCTGGAGCGCGAGCTTGGAGACCTTGCCGCGGTAGACATCTTCGAGCGAGACCTTGTGAACGTGCGAAATTGTGCGCGCCTTCTTGGGTCCTTGTTCGCGTCCGCCGCCCATGCCGCCGCCAAACATGCCGCCGAAGGGACCGCCGCCGCCGCCGAAGAACTGTGCGAATAGGTCCTCGGCTGCCATGCCGCCACCGCCGCCCATGCCGCCTTGCTCGAGCCCTTCCTCGCCATATTGGTCGTATATTTGGCGCTTCTGGGGGTCTGAGAGAACTTCGTATGCGTGGGAGAGGTCCTTGAACTTGTCGGCGGCCTCGGGGTTGTGGGCGTTCTTATCGGGATGCCACTTGAGCGCTCCCTTCTTGTACGCCGTCTTTAGTTGTGACTCGGCGCAGTCTGGCGCTACCTGTGGATTGTTAGACTTCCGGTGTTCAGCTATTCGTGAAGATGGGTGTGCTTACCCCCAGGATATCGTAGAACTTTGTGTCTTTGACCATGGTCGCGGCTTGTGGTTGTGTGTTGGAAACGTAGACGAGGGGCTAGCGGGGTCGTAAAAGTCGGGTTGAGGGGCAATAGAGAAAGGTCTCTGGGTGATCTGTGGAGAGCGCGAGTCGCGGTGTCGGGAAGATCTTAAATTAAGTCAGCGTCAAGTCGTCGGGGGCCAAAAGTCGCAGTAGTCGCCCGGTTGCAGCTCAGCCTTGCAGGTGAAAGAAGGCGCGGGTAACTCGTCGAAGTGCTGACACAATGAGCGTAAAGGCGCTTACCTAAAGTCGCCGCGGGGAATCTTCGCGGTCGAGAAGAGAAGAGAACGGGTATCTGACTCGGAGGCAAGGTGCGTGTTCACAGTGTATATTGGGGTGCGTGGGAGGGCGACGCTTGTCGACTTAAAAGTAGTAACCGGGGTGTTGCAAATGCACCGGCTGCGCCGAGCGAGAGAAGATTCCAAACAATTCCATGCCCTTCCACGCTGCCTCGCCAGCCCAAGATTGCCTGAATCCGCTCGTCTGCCTGCCCAAACTACGCAGCAGGCTCCACTCTATCGAACGTCACTGCAAAACCCGATATTCACTATCTCAATGTCTGCATATGGCGAGAGAACATGCGTTTCCCTATTGCGCATTGCTTGGGAAGCTTCGATGAAGTTACGCTATGACCGCTTTTGGCCGAGCCAATCAGCGGAGGGGCGATCAGTCAGGGCTCTTATCGCCGAAGATTGGCGAAGTTCCGGGTGCCGGAAGGGGACCCTTCTTTTGCCTTGCGCCATCGCGCAGCTTCGCCTCAGCCACATGGAGAATTTGATCGCGAGTAAGGCCGAGAAGACGCCTCAGGCACAACGTCAAGGCAGCAGCAACATATACATTTTGGCCAGCATGCGAAAAAGCGGTTTCTAGCATCCATCAACTTTCAGCAGTACAGAATGACATCAGAGTCCAGACAACCACCATCAACCCATCAGCCTAGATCCTCATGCACAAAGTAGTCCACATCATTATCCTTAACTAATCTCTTTTCTACGTCTGACGTCCATTAACACTGTTCCTAACACCCCTACCGTCCCCGTCCCCCGAAAACCCCCCACCCCCCCAGAACCTCCCTCTCCCCCCAAAACAACCAACTCCCCTCCTCC